TCAGCCTTGAGTTCAGCGATTGCTCGCTCACGCTTAGCGACAGCTTTCTCACGTTCAACAGTGATGGCCTGGTTTACAATAACCTGATCCTTAAGATTTTCCTCAACAGAAGTCAGTTCTTTGATCTTATAATGACAAATCTTTAATTGCTCATGAAGATCAACGTTAAGCATTTCAGCTTTAGATTTGCCATTGAGGGCATTGTAAAGGTCAACCGTCAGCGTATCTAGTGCAGAAAGACTAGAGGAAGGTTCATTCAGGGTACATACCTGAGTAACAGAAGATGGCTCAGAAGAGGTAGATGCTTTAGAAGAACCTTCGTCAACATCAATAGCCATCAAGCAGACATATGCTTTATCTTCCTCGTCAGAAGATGATTCAGCCCAGTCATGCTCTTCAGCAATAAGGTCTTTAGCCTTTCGCTGGTTGTTCTTCATCTTGTATTTCTCCTTCAGTTTTAAGTATTTATCATCTTTGGTGCTGAAGGAGGAAGAGGCTTTAGAAGATGGCGTCATAGTCTTCTTGGATCTGCATTCACCTGCAAAATGTCCGGGTCGGTGATAGTTGTAGCAGACAGCTGAAGCCTTGTCTATTCTTTCAGACTTTGGCTTCTCCCTGAGGGGTAGCTGAGGAGATCTGCGGAAATTTCTTTTACTGGCGAACCTCCTAAATGACTTAGTCAGGAGTGCCAGGGACTCATCAAAATHTGTTGAATCAGATTCAGGAATGTCCTTAGAAGAATCTATCTCTGTGATGACCACGAGAGGTAGAAAAGAGACAAAAGGAGTAGAGGTTTCAACTGAAGAAGATTCAGAGATCAAAGCTAAAGGAGAGCTTTTCATTTCCCTGGAATCTCTTAAAGATTTCTTTTCAGTTGACGAGATTGCTCATGGTTAAGCAGAATCCCGTATAAGGTAGAAAGAGAAAGAGTGGACATGTCATTTGACATCTTGAGACACATGGAAAAAGTATCCCAAGACTCATGAAGGCATTCTAGAAACTTAGTCAAGGTTTCAGAATTAGAGTATTCCATGTCGACAGCCCTAAGATCAATAATAAGGCAATTAAATCTTTGATGTACTTCAGACAGTGTCTCAGACTTTCCACAGAGAAAGCTTTCATACTGTTTTACTAGGTTGATCTTTCTAGTCTCCTGAACCTGAGTGGTTCCTTCGTATTGGACACAAAGAGTATCCCATACGGATTTAGAAGTTTTAAGTTTCATCACAGAGTGATATATCTCATCAGGAAGAGACATAGCTATTATAGACTGAGCACGCATGTCTATAGCTATTTTCTTCTTGTCCTCATCGCTCCATTGATGTGGAAGCTTTGGAATCTGCCGTTCATGAATCGCGACAGTCGTAGCTGTTGCTGGAACAGCCGGAACAATAGCAAATGGAATATATGGTCCATTTTCTATGTAGTGTGGAATTTCAGGATCCACACCTTCCAGAAAGAGGGACATCCGGTTCTTCCAGAGATTAAAATTGTCACGGATAAACCGGGGTGGTTTGGCAAGAGAGCCATTATCCTCTGTGTATGTGTTTGTGATTTGTTAAGCCATTTAAAAGCAGTAAGTTATCTAAGAAAAGATAAAATAATAGAGAAAGTTAGCTAAACACAAGGAAAGAAAGAAAACACTGCTCTGATACCACTTGTTGGTCCCGTAAGGGTCTACAAGAATAGAAACTGTTTGTAGAAGGGGGGGGATGAATACAAACACAGTATTTTCAAATTTAAAATATATATTGATAGAGAAGATTAATACAGATTTTACAAGACTGTTTGCAGAAAGATAAGGTAAAGAAAACCTATCTAAACAATCTTTGGATACACACAGATCTTTAGCAATTACAAGAAAAGAGATTGCTAAAAGGAAGATCTTTTACTTAAGCTAGAAGATGCTTGAAGTAAGAAAAGGATAGCAGAGAGATGCGCGCACTTTGCATGGAGAAGAAACACTTCTATTTATACCCAGTGCATTAAATGAACATTTAATGTGATATGGTAGGTTTAGAGTGCGTGTCAAGCCTTGAGAGGAAGACTTGTCCTTTGCTACAGTGAATAGTACAAAAGCACTATTTTTGAGCAGACATCCTTGCCTAAAGTTGGTGGACAAAGAGTCGACTAATCGGCTCTGTACCGTACTAACTTTTGCAAGGGTATGGGTTTGTCATTTGTGTGCATAAGGACAAGACAACAACAATCGTGCTAAGCAAGCTTCCTTTGATCGCTGAATGCTGGAATGACCTGGAGGTCTCATCATCATTCGCTAAAGCTGGAGCAGTCTTCACACATATGGAGTCAGGCTTGTAATCACTGAATACCGCTTCAGATCACGTACTTGCCAGTCTCTAATCTTCAGTTTCAGTCTTCGACGTTTGCTGAAGGTTCTTTGGTGTAAGTGTTGTCTTCTTGAAGTATTGTTGTGTCTGATGAATTTACAATGCAAGTTCTTCAGCGATCACTGAACATACTCAGTGATGATCGCTGGAACTGAAAATACAAAAACACAAATACAACGTGAAAGGAAAAAGGGATTATCATCAAATTACTGAGAGAGAGGATCAACAATTTCTTTGGTGATCTTTGAAGTTATATTATTTACCTTTCTAGTCCTTATAAAATATAACCAGTCTACTCCTCACGAGTCACGGCTATGACCGAACTAATCATTGTGTAACATCTTACTTATGTATATATAGGGGTGTACAAAAAACCGTCAACTCGCGAAACCCGTCCAACCCAACCCGTTAACAACCCAATTAAACCCAATTCGTCTACCCGCCAAACCGCCAACCCGCCAAACCGCTAACCCGTCAAACCGCTAACCCGTCAATTAGGAGGGTTGAAATTGGGTTAAGCCTAGCTCAACCCGCCCAACCCGTCAACCCGCCGCTAATATATAATTTTTATAAAATTATATATATATATATATATATGTGTGTGTGTGTGTGTGTGTTTATTATGTATATATATATTAATAATGTATAAATTTTATATAATTTTTATTGATATTATATTTGTTTCATTTTAACTAAACGTATAGGTTACCAAAAGAGATTCACGATCAAAGAATGATGACAAATAATCTAATTAATAAGAATAATTATTGATTTTTTTTGCAGCAACAATAAATTGATATGTTGGAAAATATAAATGATATTGATGGATATTTGATAGACGAATCCATCAATCTATGACGTTTCTAAAGAGTTACATTAGAAAAATGTCTTATCTAAAAGAGTTCCAATATGTTTATAGGATGGCTTTGGATGTCTTAACAAATTCTATGATGCTTTTAAAATAAAGTATCGTATTAGTTATTTTATACAACATGACTTGAAAAAGTGTCATGTGAGCATAGATGTCCTATAAATAGATGAGTTTAGGGGACACTTCTCAAAATGTTTCTATAAGATAACTAATACGACATTTTATTTAAAGATCATTCTGAAACACTTGTTGAAACGTCCAAAACGTCCTATAAACCTATTGTAACATTTTTAGATAGGACGCTTTATAGTATGGTCTATAAACTTAAGTTTTATGAATTATTTCATTCGTCAAATTAGGTAACTACTAACCCACCAACCCAACCCAACCCGCCTCAACTCGCAAGGGTTGGGTTGGGTTGGGTTATGCTTTTGAATGAGTTGAGTTGGGTTGGGTTATACTTTTGAATGAGTTGAATTGTGTTGGGTTATACTTTTGAATGAGTTGAGTTGAGTTGAGATTTTCCAAACCGTCATAATTAGATTGTGTTGTAAAATGGTTGTAAACCGCCCAACTCAACCCAACCCAACCCAACCCGTGTTCACCCCTCTATATATATATAGATGCTTTTATTTGATTTAGTGCCTAGGCTATACTTTGTGCGCCATTAGTTTTTTTTTTTTTATTGTAGAAGATTCTAATGGGAGCATGGAAGCAGTTATACTTTTGACCTTATCCTAACTGTGAAACCCAATTACTTTTGGGCTACCTCCACCAAACCGTTGTTTGACCAACATATGGCAGAAAAGAGGAAATATATAAAATAAGTTTCCTCATAGAATATGAGTAAAAATTGTACTTATTTCAGTTCCACATGCATTCATCAAGTGAAAGTGATCAACTACAATATGTCTCTCAGTTCACCCGATAAAACAATTGTGCACTTCCAACCCACCCACCCACAAGGGAATTGAAGACATGCCATGTTTTCACTTCCATTGTCAGCAGTGAATAATAAACAATATCCTACTCGTCTTTTACTGTAAACCAGAAAGGAGAGTTAGAAGATCTTCCTGGAAAGGCATTTTTGGGATTCATACTAATTACCAAGCATATATTCTGTTCCAAGTATGTTAATCAATGGTTGTAGAGAACTTGTGTTATAATATTTTTGTTAAGATTATATCACATGATCACTGGTCCTACAACCTACTCCAATTAATGGAGCATGCACAAAGGGTTTATGCAAGAAAAGCTCTATGTCACTATCATGCGCATCTAACTCTGCAAAAGACAAAACTTTTCCACGTGGCGTTTTCACTAATATCTGATTGTAACCTTTACCTCCTCATCTTTGATTAGTGGTTGCTGGTAGTGTCTCTACAAGTATAAATAGATATGTGGGTCTTTGTTTCTTTCATCCTTTAGCAAGAAAGTTGTATTTCAGGTTGTTTTGTGCTCCTTATGAATTTCATACTTAAAATGACGTCCCTTTTGAATATAACTCTTGTTTTATTGTTATCAGAGAGAACTATTGTAGTTGCTAGTCATGGACAATTGTCCAGTGAAAAAACATCAAACATTCAAAACAAAGATCTTGTTACCAACTTGCCTCATCAGCCTAACGTAGATTTTCGACACTATGCTGGATATGTGACTGTAAATGAAAAAAATGGAAGAGCATTGTTTTATTGGTTCTATGAAGCCTGGACTCTCCCAGATGAGAAGCCATTGGTGTTGTGGCTTAACGGAGGTAAGAGTGTTAAACTGTATTATTATATTTTGCTGCTTCATGTTTTCCATTGTTTCTTGCTTTGTCGACGCCTATAAAATATATTGAGACGTTGGTTTTGGAAGCTTATGAACATGACCAGTCTCACAAGCAAAAATTGTGGTCACCTTCTTGTTTCAGATTTCCACTACAACCTTTTGACAAAATCTATCCATTTTTTTTTATCTGAACATATACTTTAAAGAATGATAACGTGAAAGAGGATAGGGACTCATGATGATAAGGTTCTCTGTGAAGATGCTACCTTTTTCAATTAAATCCCACCAATCAATCAAATAAGCCTTTAGAAAAGTAACTAATTTCAAAAGAAAATATTCTCTTGATAATTTACTAATCGATAGTGTCAAGTGGAGGTCACTCTTTGTGAATATCTAATTCACTAACTTAGTAATGGACATTTATTAGTTTGAGGCTTGATTTCTCCTGCTGTCCATTTTGGTGACATGAGGTTACGTGTTTCAGGTCCTGGATGTTCGTCTGTGGGATATGGAGCTACACAAGAGATCGGGCCGTTTATTGTGGGTACAGATGGAAACAGTCTTCAGTTAAATCCTTACTCATGGAATATAGGTATCATTTACCACACCCACATTTATGCTCATGGATTTTTTCTTTCTTAGTTTTTTTTCTTTTTTCTTTTAACAAGTATATAATCCTTAACGGGACATCAGTTGAAATCTGTTAAGTGGTAGTGCAGAGGCCAATATGTTGTTCTTGGAATCTCCTGTTGGAGTGGGCTTTTCGTACTCCAACACGACAAGTGATTATGAAAACCTCGGAGATGACTTCACTGGTGAGTCTTCTGAATGCTATTAGTATATATGATACAGGATACATGTGTCTGTATGTATGTATGTATATATGCAAGTATGTATGTAGATGATGTATTGATAATCTATTGTTTAGCACTGATTGCTTAATGTAATGCTATATCAGCGAAGGACACTTATGCTTTCCTGCATAACTGGTTCAAGAAGTTCCCATCTTATCGAACTAGGGCGTTTTATATTGCGGGAGAGAGCTATGCAGGCATGTTTCGGCCGCATTTCACCAAATACTGTTTATAAACTCTCAAGCATGACATATTCGCATTTTTTATGCAGGAAAGTATGTCCCAGAATTGGCAGGTCTTATTTATGAGAAAAACAATGACCCTTCCCTGTTCATCAATCTGAAAGGAATATTGGTATTTTTTGTGGTTTCCTAGCAATTTCCATGCACTATCATTTCCTTATGCTCTTCATTTTGTGGGTATTACGTCCTTAATTTCTGTACATGTTAAGTCAGTGGGACCCAGATAACATCATAGATCCACAAATGAACCTGTTAGATAGTGAAAAATGTAAATGGCCTTTAGAGATTTTTGTTTTATGTTTCATTATCGTTTTTGCACCATTGAAGATCCCATATTGGATGTCTGCAGTTGGGTAATCCTGAAACAAGTGATGCGGAGGATTGGAAAGGTCTTGTTGACTATGCTTGGAGCCATGCTGTTGTATCTGATGAAACTCACAAAACCATAAGAGAATCCTGTGATTTCAACAGTAACAATACTTGGAGTAACGATAACTGCAGCCAAGCTGTGGACGAAGTTCTTCGACAGTATAAAGAGATAGACATCTACAGCCTCTACACGTCGGTTTGTAATGCCAATTCAGCATATTCAGAAAACAAGCAAGTCGTATTCAACAAGAGTACGTCTAAGATGGTAAGCACTTCATAATCTTGCTTCCTTTACATGCACACAATAGTTGGCATTCACATCACTGAACAATTTACCCATGACCTCAATTGTTGCTAAGATTTTATTTTGTGGATCTCATTTGTAAGGTATTATTTGGATCCTCTTGATGCAAATATGAATAAAGATTGATAGCAAAATGAAGAATGGATAAATATTATATTGAACGAATGAAACCTTTAAGTCGTTTTTTCTCATAAAATACCAATGTCTTACTAGACTATTTATGACCTAAAATGAGGTTTCTCATCCAATCAAGATGCACCCTCCTCGAAGGTCCAAATATTCCATGTTTGCTATTTGAACAATATGCAAAAGCTTCAAAAGTGTATTGGGTACTTTGGAACCACAAGGGAGTTGTTGGAAACACACTTGAAGGACCTGTTTAAAACCGCAATTCACCTTAGATTATGGGGCTGTTTGGTTGGTTTTTCATTACATGCTGTGTGAATAAAGTTGTCTGTATGGATTAATCTGTCTGAATAAATTAAAAATATTTTTGTTTGAGAAAGTTTTTTCATAGATGGAAAAAACATGTTTTTTAAGTGGGAGGAGCATGTCTGGAAAAAAAAAACTTGATTTCTGTATAAAGCTCCTTCCTAGAAGCTCATTGAATAAACCATTTTCTATATTATTAAGTCACTACCAAACAGTCATGTTTAGCTAATCGAATAAGTTGTGAGCCTCATTAAGCTTCTAACAAACAGATCTTAAGTCTGAGGTGCATCATTTATGAACATAATAAATTGGCAATTGAAGTTGCTCTCTCTCTCTCTCTCTCTCTCTTCAATTATCTATTTATTCGTTTTTTGGACGTTCGTCTAATATTTTAATTTTCAATACGCAATAGAAAGGCTTTGGTTGGTTAAGTAACTAAATTAACAACTAAAAAGAAAGGAATTTCTATTATCATTATATTAATTGAACTGGAGTTTACTTTTTTGTTTTGTTTTGTTTAGATGCCTCGAATAATTGGCGGTTATGATCCTTGCCTTGATGATTACGCTAAAGGTTACTACAATAAACCTGAGGTTCAAAAGGCTCTTCATGTTAGCAACGGCCTTCAACTCAAGAACTGGAGCATTTGCAAGTACTCAACACGCCTTTCTACTTTCTTCAACTATGTTTGAAAAGATTATGTATTCGGAACTCAGATAGGGGTGAGCCTATGGAGCTGTCCTTTGTGACAGGAAGGAAAATAAAAGCATCTTTCCTAAATGCAATGGAAAGGCTAAGGGCATCTTCATTGGGTGGCCTTGGACTTGTACATTGCCACATCAGCTTGGAAGAAACCGGTTTATATTATTGTGAGAGAAAAAAGTGTGGACCGGTTCCACCACCATATTATGTGGGCCCCAAAACCAATAAACAATTAATAAATGAATTCACCCACACTCTTTTACTTTAATTTATAATTTATAAATCATGATTACGGGTAGAAAGTTTATAAAATGCGTAGGAAAGAGAAATTTGATTTGGCAAAGTCATGAACCTGGAGATGCTCTAATGTTTCTCAATTTATCACATAACCGAGAAGACTTACACCAAGATTCATGGAGTTTATGCTTATGGCAGTATTTTGTGCAGTATGGATATATTCAACGGCTGGTCGCAGTCAATAGATTCAGTTCTCCCCATATACAAGAAACTCATTGATGCAAAACTTAGAATATGGGTATACAGGTAAGTGAGTGATGTTGTTTGTCAATTCCGCAAAAATATCTGTTTATTTGATTAAAACTCATTTGTGTATTTGGGTCTTAACAGTGGAGATACTGATGGTAGAGTCCCTGTGCTGTCCACCCGATACAGCTTAAGCTCTCTGGGACTGTCTATAACTAGGTCATGGAGGCCCTGGTACAACCAGAAACAGGTAAGCTCCCCAAATCTGTACTATCTTATAATGCATTTCAGTAAATCTCTTAATTATCTTATAAAGCATTGGGGTAAAACTCTTAATTATCTTATAAAACATTTAGGTAAAACTTTTTAAAGCTCTTAAATAGAACCCAAAAACCTGATGCACCATATGATAACTGAACCAAAGGTAAGAATACCCAGGAATCAACTATTCTAAAACTTGTTGATTCAATTGAATGCTAAGCTTTAGGCTCAAACTCATATTACCCGGAATTTGGATGGAAGTTGAAGTTTCTATGGTTGATCAAGTGACCATATAAATAAAGAGTTCCCAAAAAAAAAAAACGGAAAAAACTTGAACGAAAAAAATGAAAAATAGCAAAATCCATTAGTGTCTTGAAACATGTTTAAACAATGTTTTTTTTTTTGCCTAAAAAATCCCATAGACCCTTCAAGGCTATCAGGGCGTGCTCCTCGTTCTAAGCCTCGATTCAATATATCGTGGATCTGAAACGGAAACCTGTAATGAAAGTCGTGCGCGTTTAAACATGACACCCCTTGTTGACTCGATCATGGGCTTCTAGGAGCCCTAAGGCCCGATACCACATGAATACCTATTTTAACCACAAACATTTATTTGATTTTTAACTAAAGTTTACATATAAAATTTATATTAGTACAAATGCAACAAAGGTATTCATAATACTCTTCTCACTTTTGAGTTCATATTGTGATTGTAATGGAGGGTCTTGACTATCTCCACATATTTAAATCAATGGAAGTGAGAGATTAGATTTCCTATTGTCATTTTGGGAATTATTACATATTTAATTAATTATATTAAAGAATAAAATATGTGAAAATAATTGGTTTTCATTTTATAGTATTCCTTATTCTTTTGTCTAAAAAACTTTAGTGAAATTTATTAAAATAGTCATTTTCAGGGTTGGTTTCACCTCTTAGTCATTTTTTCTCCAAATTTACCAAAATAGCCATAGGTCTACGCCCCGAACTATACACGCTCGCATGCAATGAAAACTGTTTTACTTTATGTTATGTCATTTGAATGTATGAAAAGACTTATTTAAAAAAAACGGGTGTAAATCTTTGTCTTGCTATTTGATGTGTCCTTTTTCGTTGTTTAGGTTGGTGGTTGGATTCAAGAATATGAGGGACTAACTTTCGCGACATTTAGAGGAGCCGGTCATGCGGTGCCTATTTTTAAACCAAGCGAATCACTTGCATTCTTCACTTCGTTCCTTCTTGGAGAATCTCCACCGTCCCAACGATAAGTTATTAATCAAGATCAAAGTTTCTTCACACTCGGTTGCTTAAAAAAGATTTTTGGTTTTCGTAAAGATTAAAGAAGATAAACAAATCACTATATATAAATGCGCTACTATGATATACCATCTTTATAGTTTCTAATCATATTTGTTTCAGTGTCTATATAATGTATTATAATTGATTAATAATGTGATATATAAAAAATCCTATGTTAAATACACTTCGTGTGACTATATGTATTGCCCTCATACATGAGAATAACCAGACGTGTGTTATTGTATAAATACCAAAATATGACATTGCTAATAAGCTATCTCTTTCAATCAGAAGTATGGCTTTTTAAACATTTTAGAGTAAACTACAATTCTCGTCCCCACGGTTTGTCGGTTATAACAGTTTTCATCTTTGTAGTTTTAATATTATAAAACGGTTATGGTGGTTTTGCAAAATCAAACAAACTTTAACTTTTAGTGTTACAAGTGAGGTGCAATTTTTTTGTCTTTTTTTGATTTTTGTCTGGTTTTCAATTAAAAATAAAAAATTCTTTGTAAACTAATCCATTGAATGCACGCCACATGTCTTACCCAACTCTTTCTTTTCTGGAAACCCGTAAACCACTTCCGGTCTTCGTTCATCGTCTCCGACAAAACTCTGATGATTGTTTTCAAAAGGCAAAACAAGATATGTGAATCGGTTGGGGAGACTCCCTCTGAAAGAACAAGATTCCTTCATCATCCCAATGTCCATGTGGTTTACCTAAACATCGGTTCTTATCCCTCAACTTCACTAATTACATCTATGTCCATGCATAATGCCCATTAATGCTAGCACGTGAGGATATTTCGGTCATTTTATCTCCTATTTTTACAATTTTCTTGTAATGTACAAATTACAAGCATGTGTTACATAAGTACAAGTATTAAAAAAACAAAATAAACCAACCCCAAAACCAGCTGTCTTAACCACAAGGGTGGTGTTTGATTGGTTTGAGCTTGCCAAAGTCAAAAGTACCTGGAGATCCCAGGTTCAAATCCAAGGAGAAATAAAAATCTCTTTGTGGCCACGGAGGTTCAAATGCGGTGACTCCGAGCTATCTGCAAAGCAGGTGATCGCCCTGAAATTAGTCGGCTAGCATAGCAGGTTGGATATCCAAGTTAATAAAAAAAAGGGTTAAATGCATGAAATAGCAACCTACTTTCATAAATTTTCTTATTATAACATTCTATTTTTGTTTTTCTTTATTACAGCAATTTACTTTCAAATTATTTTTTATTAAGGCATTGCACTTTTAAAAATCTACCCATTATAGCAATGGGTAACGTGTTACCTTTTAAACCGGTTAACCCCTTGACTTTTTTTGTTTGTATGACTTTAATGAGGTGATGTGAATGACACATCATTTTTATGACTTAATTAATATAAAAATTATTTCAAATTATTATTAGTGATTCATTTTTCATTGTTATGATTTAAAAAAACATTTAATTTTTTTGACTTTTATTATTAAGTTGCATGTAATTTAAATATTTTAGAGTAAAATATTTCTTAAATAAATATGCTACATTATTTTTGAGATATATTTTGTTTGTAAAAAAAAGTAACACTTCTTATTTTATGTTGTTCAAAAAAATACATATCTTTTAAAGTTATCTCTAAAATGTTAATAAAATAAATTGTGTTCTATAATTTTTTAATATTGTTATATTAATAAATATTTCAAAAAATATAGTTAATTTAACAAATTTATACGTCAAGTAAAAGTTTCTGAAGAAATATCATATATTCTTCAAAAGATAATATTTTTTTTGATAAAAAAATGAACACTTCTTATTTTCTTTTTTTTTAAAAACACATATTTTTAAAAAAAATATTAGCGAAATAAGTCGTCTTTACTAGTTTCATTAATATTAATATATTAATAAATAATTTAAAACTTTTTTAATTCATTTAACATATTTATCAAATAACATATAAAATATCTAAAATATTAAAATTAAAAGTACAGTGTTTTATAAGAATCAGTAGATGTTATAATTATATAATTTTGAAAGTACAATGTTGTAATTAAAAAAACATATCATTATAGTACATGTGGACAACCTACATGGACAATGAGGTAGCATGAAAACCTGGTATAATGGGTAAATTCAAATCAAAAAATTACTCAATGCGATAATGGGTAAATTTTTTAAAGTACAAAGTTATAATAAAAAAATAGTTTGAAAATACGTTGCTGTAATAAGAAAAACTTAAAGTACGATACTATAATAAAAAAATTTATGAAAATGAATTATTATTTTGTAAAAAAATAGGGCCGCCTAATTTCCATCTTCATATTTACTTATTACTTCATCTTCTTCTCTCTTCAAACTTTGGATGGTGGATCTTGACGCATAGAAACCAAACCAGCCTTGTGATGCTTCTGATTTTTTGTGGTGGCTTGGTTTTTCTTTTTCTTTTTAATCTTCAATGAAATTCATGTTTTTTTATATTTTTTAATTGCAATGGATTTTAAGAACATTATGTATTATTTTTTGATTTTTAAGTAAAATGATATAAGAATAAGATGTTCATGTTATTGTTCTTGAATTAATTTGTTACTTTTTCTATATATAAAAGAATTGTACATATTACCGTCTTGTTCTTGATATTTTATAAGCCTTGGACGAGATTTAAAAAGGGGCTTTTGATAAGTACGAAAAAAAAATTCAAGTTGTATGTATCATCAGAAATAACATTGAATTCAAAACATATATACTAATGATTCGTATAAAATCGTTTTTTCGAGTATTCCTATATGTAAAATCATTCAATAATTACTTCTAAATTAATATTATATATCATATCATTTTTTACATAGCACCGCAAATCCATTCCACAACCAAACATGTTCTATGATATACCTTTAGTATATAAATTAACATCATTTGAGGTCACAATTTTGACTGTCAGAGTAGCATTTTATATAAATTAACAAAAACCTTACATATACGACGTTACATCTCCAATGATATCTGGGTTACATCTCCGTCGATATATGCATTACATTTCCGGCAAGATATGGTTACGTATCTGATCTAAAACGAGATCTGTGCAAAAACCAAAAACTGAAACCGATCTAGGTGTGCAGAAACCAGATCTGTGCATATATGAATAATCGAAACCGATCAGGGTTGTTTTTCTCGATTGAAGAAGCCATCGAACTAGTTGAGATGCAACAGAGTTTATGGCAGAAGCCAGATTTGTGCTGCTCTCCATTCAACGTCGCCGTTGAGATGGAGATGGTTGAGGTCGGCGTAGAATGGTTGAGATCAGCGGCAAGAATGGTTGAGATCGACAACAAGAATGGTTGAGATCAGGCGGCAAGACTGGTTGAGATCGGTGAAGCATGTGGAGCTTTTCGAAGTGGGTACTAAGGGAGGATGAAGAAACGACCGACCAAATTTATTTGGAGTTTCAAATTCCACATTTAACGTTTAGGGTTTTATAAGTTGTAAAATTTACTAATTTACCCTTTGTTTTATTTTAGTAAATAATATTAATTACCTGAAATGATTGGCTTATATTGGACCTCACAATTACCATAAACTATCTATATATATGTATGTGTGTGTGTGTGTGTATATATATATATATAGGGTTGGGTTCATGTGAGACCAAAGGTTTTTCGTGAGACAGTTGGTAGGATTAGTTATTTTATACGGAAAATTCAGGGGTTAAATTTGACAGTTGTTGGAAATTGAGGGATTTATGGTATAAAATAGTTCACCTCCTTCTGAATTCATAATTTAGGTCCAATTAGGTGAGTTTTTATGTCTGGTCACATGGGCCATGCACCCGCCTCATCTGTTAAAAGGTATATAAAGTTATGGTGAGAGGTTTTTGGTTTTTGCATTGATATAAGGAATTTCCTTGAAGAGCTAAAAAGAACTGAACATATTCAGTAAGGTTTGGTTTCGGCTAACATTATTTGAGGTGAGTTTTACACTATTTTGATGAATCTGTTTATAHCAYTTTTAGTAGTTATTGTGTTATATGATAGAAGTGTTAAGTTTACCCTTTTTGTTCTAATTCATATGCATGATCCGTTAAGGACTGGTTATTATTTAAGTGTTGTCCGATGAGGATCTTATCGGACATAGTGTTGTCCGATGAGGACTGTTATCGGACATAGCGCTGTCTGATAAGGACCTTTCCCGGACAAGGCATCAATCAGATTAGGTGTTCATCGCCTAAAGCGTTTCTCGGATTGAGTATTTATCGTTTATAGTCTTACCAGATTAAGTGTTGACCGATGAGGGCGTTTCATCACCCCACTGTTGTCCGGTGAGGGCTTTCATCGCCCAAGTGTTGTCCGGTGAGGGAATCTCATCGCCCAAGGGTTGTCCAATGAGGGCTTTGATCGCCGAAGTGTTGTCTGGTAAGGGCTTTCATCGCATAAGTGTTATCCTGTGAGGGCTTTCATCGCCCAAGTGTTGTCCGGTGAGGGCGTCTCATCGCTCAAGTACTGTCCGATGAGGGCATATATCGCCCAAGGGTTGTCCGATGAGGGCAGTCCTCGGCCCTATATTGTCCAAAGAGAATATTCAACCAGTTATTATTCTTCGTGAATATTTCCCGATGTTAAATTATTATGTTTATGCATTATATATATATATATACATACATATCTGGTGGGGTATCTGTCTTAGAGGGAGGGGAAGCCGCGATAGTTGATAAGGTAACTGCAAATAGATGGCGGATCAACCGCGAGAGTTAGCAGGGTACCTGTGATGGATGGCGGGACAACTGCAATAATTGATAAGGTACCTGCATATAGATGAAAATATTCGCCAAATAAGATTCGCCAGAGAAAGGAAAGAGGAGAGATGAAGGAGGATATTTATAAAATCCCTAAAATGCCCTAAATTAATATTTTAAGTTAAAATTACCAAAATTATTAATTTCCTAATTTAACATTTGATTTGTAGTTGATTCTGGATCTCACAGTTATCACAAACAAAAC